CCAATTAGTGACGGCACGACTACCTGTGAAGTATGAACAAAACCAGCCGAGCCGTTGCTGGTGAAAAGTTACCCCAACTTTGGGGTCAAATTTCTCGGTAATGAAAACAGATATCAAAAATTCAAATGGTAACTTTGTGCCCACACTCAAGCTGAGTAGAATGAGCTATGTTTGAAGTATTTTATCCCAAATTTGTAGGAGGAGATACATTTGGCGCGAAGCTATCCAAAAATCAGTTTTTTTGCTGTTGCTATGGCAATGGTGGGCCAAAAAATTTTTCCAGATTTTTCCTTATAACTAGGGTTAAGGTGTGACCTACCTGCCAAGTTTGAACGAAATCGGCCAAGCCAAAAAAATCACAGAAGAAATAATACGTGAACACTGGAACACTGGAAATGTACACACACAGACACACACACACACAAAACGACAAAAGTGATTATAAGGGCAATCCTAGCGGAGCGGATCGCCAAAAAACTGGCTATACCATATTGGAGTTGTTACTAATATACGTATTCCCATGTAGAAGCAGTTGTTACTAATATACGTATTCCCATGTAGAAGCAGTTGTTACTAATATACGTATTCCCATGTAGAAGCAGTTGTTACTAATATACGTATTCCCATGTAGAAGCAGTTGCGACCAGATGAATATCACATTCAGGTACATGGGGTTTCTAACAACTGTCCTCCACCATGAGTATCTCAATGCATGTTGTCACTTGATTGTCTATCTATCGTGGTCACAAATCTGCGGCTTGCATGATTTATGCGAGTTTCCATATTCTATTTAATAACACCAAACGACGTAACTAATACCCTTGTGTATCTGATGTTACCATTCTGCCTATCGCAATCGAGTATTTATGCGATTTAGCGGAATGAGAAAGTACAGTATCAAGCGAACGTACTTACGCGCAAAGACTTGTGGGACGAAGTTTGGTTACCAAGGTAGGTACTTTTTGTTGATGCTCCTTGTATATATTTCAACGAAACACAGTAAGGGGCTACCTATTTAAGATTAGGGAGACTGTCAGAATTTGTTTTTTCTGCAAATAATTTATTCATATATGTCTGATGACAATCTTTCACCCACAACATTTTGTGTTCACATAATCCTCTAGCCCACACTCCTTCAAATTGTTTAAATAAGGGAACCCTAATTAATTTTTATAACGAACTTGAACTATTTATAACCGGTGGTCATTTATGTGGAAGTGAGGGTATTGTTCGGTTTTTAAATCGTGCTTTCATCATGTCATGCTGTGAAATTCATGGATGTGCACCAATTACATTCTGTTCGTGCTGATTTATATAAAAACATGATTCTTATATGTTCGATTGTTCTGAAAAAAATCACGTTACGTCATACTGTGTATATAAACTAAGTGCCAGTGTTTGTTTTGTTACAGCCGTATGACGCCCGACGATAATGCTAATGCTATAATAGAAAAGAGCGAAAGATTGTATTCATGGCCTGGATTTATGCAGCCGCTGTTACGTCATGGTGTGTTTCATGTTTGATCACAATGTGACATACAGAGAACACTAACATGTGTTGATAGGCGACCTTATGTGTCTAGCTTTACATATTGTTTATTTTCAAATACTTCGATATCGCTCAGTCAGTCTTTGTGATTTGTCAGACTACTAATATATTTGGTTACGCATTTATAAATGTTTGTCGAAATAAGGAATTATATCAATGCACATGCGGGTTGAACCGAAGTTTTGAAATAATGGTACGTACTACTAATTCAAAGCGGGGTTAAGTTCATTCATTCATTCATTCATTCATTCATTTATTCATTCATTCAAGGTACGCTGTTTTATGCTGCAAATAAGCGCCTTGATTTATGGTAAATCTTATGGTGGATACGGAGATCGGTGTGATCCATCTTTGCCAACCAAGTTCCATGTGTTCGGACATCGCATCACGGAAATATGTTTACATCAAAATCAAAAGAATGATCCAGATCGACTGCCAGGATTTTGGATTTTCCCTGATCTGTAATATTAAAATATATATGATTCATGGCGAGTTTTGTCGGAGCTTTGATGAAAACAGCCTCGACATTTAATCATGAGGAAAACAATCATTCACAAGATTTTATCAGCGTTCATTTAGAGACGTTAAACTCTATTAAGCGGTTTCACTCACGAGAGGATTTAGCACTATAATCTGATTTTCATTATATACCTAATATATCCTTATATATAAAATGCCGCTTAATATATTTAATTATTAATAACTTGCCAACTTGTGATATATTGAGTTC